AAAGGTGTGAACCAGACCCATAGAAAACAATGGGATTTTCATGTTTGTACGTTTTGTTGAGCGTTGAACGCGCGACAAAACGTAAAGGTGTGAACGGGGCCTAAGCTGGCTGACCTTAAAGCAGACCTTTACCCATATCTTTCAAATAACAAACACACCTTTAGAAATGTTTAGTAATGACAATCTACAAACACATACGTCTAGATAATTGCAGGATTTGTACTCTTTACTTCCTGGAACTCTGGCACATGTGACTAGGACATGTGACCAAGCTCATCATCTTAGTGGGAGGAAAATGCCTTTCCCCAGGGGGAGGAGGAGGGCATTTGCAGAGACACACACTGGGTGGGGGAGAGGAGGGGAGGACCGTTTGTAGAGACACACTGTGTGGACCTTTACTTTTTAAATGAAAGAAGACAGCAGCCGCTGCCCAAGGCTGAATAGGGGCTCAATGCTGTAGTGGGGGAGGAGCCTTTGCCAGCATCGGGCCCCTATTCAACCTTGGGCACCGGCTGCTGTCTTCTTTAATTTCAAAATTAAAGATCCACACAGTGTCTCTGCCATTGGTCATGCATCTGATCATCCTAGATGAACATTATGTTCATACAATATAATCAGATGAATGACCAATGGCAGAGGCACTGTGTGGATCTTTACTTTTTAAATTAAAGACCACCAAGAGCCCGCACTGACCTCGCAATGCCAGCACTGGCCACCAGAGAGCTCGCACTGGCTACCTTAGCAGCAGCCCCCCCTGAAACCCCGTACAGCCCTCGTGAGACCCTGGAGACATGAGGCTGTGAACCCAGAGCAAAACAGAGCATGTAGCTCTATAGTATTCTGCATTGCAGTATTCAGTATTGCTGGGATTTGTAGTCCTCTCTAGCTGATGCTATTATTCTGCAGTGCTTAACAATGTATTGCTGGGATTTGTAGTTCACTATAGCCAGTGCCATTCTGCATTGCTTTATAATATATTGCTGGGATTTGTAGTCCTCTATAGATGGCGGTATTCTGCATTGCTGTGTAATGCATTATTAGGATTTGCAGTCATCTATAGTTGGTGGAATTCTCCATTGCTGTGTAATTTATTGCTGGGATTTGTAATCCTCTATAGTTGGTGGCATTATTCTGCATTGTTGTATAATATATCTCTGGGATTTGTAGTCCTTTATAGTTGGTGATATTCTGCATTGCCATATAATGTATTGCTGAGATTGCTGTCCTGTAAGTATTTGGAGGTGGGGGGCAAGGAAAGGTACCCAAGTGTTTTTTTACCATAATGCAGAGAATGCATCAAGGTAAAATACTCCTTAAGTATCGGCTGGGTGCCAAATTGACAGCAGATGCCTCCGAAAATCAATGTACAATAGAGAAAAAGTCACTAGCACTCCAAGCACTCTAAAGGAATCCTTAGTGACTGGTAGGGTACCATGTGATTGGCGGAGGGCTACGGTAGTTCCAATATTCAAAAAGGGGTCTAGATGCCAACCAGGGAACTATAGGCCGGTCAGTCTAACATCGGTAGTTTGTAAACTGTCAGAAGGTATAATTAAGGACTATTTGGTAAAATTTGTTAAGGATAAGGGCATAGTTAATGACAATCAGCACGGGTTCAGGAAAGACCGTTCCTGCCTAACTAACTTGCTAACTTTTTATGAGGGGGTAAGCAGAGATATGGATGGAGGGAAGCCGGTAGATGTGGTATACCTGGATTTCTCAAAGGCATTTGATACCACACAAGCGCTTACTTCACAAGCTGAAGGGTATGGGCATAGATGAGGTGCTGTGTACGTGGATAGAGAGCTGGCTACGGGAACGTGTCCAGAGAGTATCTGTAAATGGCACCTTTTCGGACTGGGCTAGTGTAATGAGCGGTGTGCCTCAAGGATCTGTGCTGGGTCCGATACTGTTCAACCTATTCATTAATGACATCGGGGAGGGAATAAATAGCCATGTTTCCGTGTTTGCAGACGATACAAAAATAGGGAGGGTACTAGAAACGGATCGTGACAATATAACATTGCAGGAGGACCTGGATAAAATAGGGGAGTGGGCAATACTATGGCAGATGAGGTTTAATGTCGATAAATGCAAAGTAATGTACTTTGGACATAAAAATAAACAAATAGGCTATACAATCATGGGTATGCCGCTAGGGAAGTCAGAAATAGAAAAAGATTTGGGGGTCATTGTAGACCACAAACTGAATGGTAGCTTGCAGTGCCAAGCTGCGGTAAACAAAGCTAGCAGGGTCTTGTCCTGTATTAAGAAGGGGATGTATTGCAGAGACAAGTCTATAATTGGGCCTCTATATAGATCGTTGGTTTGGCCACATCTGGAGTACGCGGTCCAGTTTTGGTCGCCGGTACTGAGAAGGGATGTCCTTGAACTGGAGAGAGTCCAGCAGAGGGCAACAAAACTAATTAGGGGAATGGAGGACCAGAGCTATGAGACAAGGCTTCTGACCTTAAACATGTTTACGCAGGAATTAAGGAGATTAAGGGGGGATATGATTTTCATGTACAAGATGTTCAATGGTGACAGCAACATTGGCAACAAACTGTTTGAGATTAACTCCATTACAAAGCCTAGTAAGAGCTGTTAAGGCCTGGAACTCACTGCCATCGGCAGTGATTTCAGCCAAGAGTGTAGATTTGTATAAGAAACGTTTGGACAATTTCTTGAGGGACCGTAATATCCAGGGATACCAGTATCCCTAAGAATGAGATGATGCATGGACCTATATGGGTTGGACTTGATGGACGTATGTCTTTATTCAACCCCAAATACTATGTAACTTGATTTCAGTCAATATTTATTTACCTCTGTAGTGTCACATCATGTTAGTGATGTTTCGAAACCGCATGGTCCCTTCTTCAGGCAAACAAAGAGTGACCACCAAAAAAACATGTGCAGCAAAATATACATGGCTGTGTAAACCAGTAAACCAAAGACCCAAAACCCTCCCCTTTGACGTCACACTGACCTCATATTCCTGCCATCAGAAGTGCGATGGGTCCTATTTCGATATTGAAGACCACGTAACCGATTTCTTTGCACCTCCGGTTTCTGCTCATCACTCTGAATATTTACATACCAATGGCGGCGAACCAAAATCAATCATCTACAGTACTGGGGCATCTATCAAGTCAATGGAAGGAAACGACCAGACAACGTTGAGGACCACAAGTAACACATATAGTCTGGAGGAAATTGAAACAATTCTCTTCCCAGCTGACACCATCAAAGCCTTTGGCACAGACACGGTTGATGACATCTTTAAAGAGCTGAAAGGACTTAGGAGGAGACGAACGAATTTGGAACTTCATGGTTAAACCTTATTGGAATATTAAAAGGACAAGAAAAATCCCTAGAGGATTGCGGATAACAAACCAATTCTGTGAAAAGTAGTGTGAAGTGTCTAACCAAAATTTACTGAACTACATGATTCTAGTCATCGAAGAGGTGAAGATACAACTATGCCAAGTTAACAGAGAGATTGCTGCCTTAGCGGTATACAGGACTCCTTTTGATAACGCGTCATCAAAAGGAGTCCTGTGTTGATACACAGGCATCTGTGCAGCTGATATTCAGATATAATTCTGGCTCATTTCATATGATTTTACTGATTCTCATTGTGAGTATGTTTTTACCTTGTACTTTAGCTCACATTATTAAAAACCATCTACACTAGGGTGGGCGCCCTTCTCTCTTCTTTTCTCCCATAGTGTTGCAGCTTCCCAGGTTGAAGTGGGGCAGAACTCCTAGTTATCCTCGCTTGCACTTTATTTTCATCTGTTGGTCATCATTGGCGCTTTGAATTTTTTTCTTTTCTTACTATTATTATGATGTGGCTGAGCAATGAATGAGCAGGCATTGAGCATGCGCGACCCTATGGGGGTCACTGCGCAAGCGCCAGCTGAGCCGGCCAGGATTGTACCAAAAGATCACGTCAGATAGTAACCATGGCGCCACAGAAGCCAGCAACGGTTATATGGAGGTGCAAGCAGCGTTGATAACGCCCCTTTCCCAAACGTAGATGTGTGCAGTGCGTGATCACATCGTTTCTTTGTGGCGTGGTTGCCATGGTAGTGAAGACGCCACCTATATCCGCACAGAGAGATGCGTGTGAGGCGGGTCCAACTCATGAGTGACGTAATAGGGAAATAATTCCGGTTTTTGGTTATGGCGCTGATCGCGAACATTTAAGAGAGAGATAGACCTATACATCATCACAAGGTTTAATTGTTCACTCTAAATGAATACACAGATGCACTTGTATTGTACATTATATTGATAATGGGGGGGATATGACATCAGTGTGACATCAAAGGGGAAGGTTTTTGGTCTTTGGTTTACACAGTCATGTATATATTGCTGCACATGTTTTTTTGGTGTTCACTCTTTGTTTGCCTGAAGAAGGGACAATGCGGTTCCGAAACGTTGCTAATATGATGTGACTCTGTCGTATATTTTTCCACATCTGGAATTTAATTTACAAACTTCATGTACTCAATCATTGTAAAAGGTTTTTACATAATGTGTATGTAAATTGAGGCATGACCTATACTGCTTTGCCCACTATCATACAATGAGAAATAAACCTTAACATTTTTTTAACTTGTAATGGTAATGAGACAGCAAATACCCTCTATTTTAAAAAGACACTATTATGCAAAGAGCTTGTCTTTCTCACTGCTCCCAAGCCCTACTCCACAGAAGTCACTGTTTCCATATCGAACACTGCAGACAGCTAACAAGCTGGAAACAGCTAGAGTATATGCAGTTTGGAATAATTGCTAGTTCTTGTGAGACATATAAATACCCGGTGACTCTACTTAATGGACGGCATTTTGTTTCCATCTAGCTCATCCCACCATAATATGCCTGGTTATATAGTCCTTTCAGTGTAAGTACTGTACAAACTGTAAACAGTAAAAGTGTATATGCATCAGATTTCCTTAATCGAAAAATACAATCAAACAAAAAAAACTCACCACTTCAGCACTTTCCAGCATGGCCAAGATAAAGAAAACATATTTCTGTCCAATCTCCAATGCCTTGTTTTCAAAGCCATCATAGTTCTTCTGGTCTCCAAGAGTGAAATGTCCAGGAAGAGACTGGAGCCGAGCTGCCACATATGGTTTAGGGTACTCCAGGTGTCTTAGGTAACGCAAGCTACGACGATGCTGCTTTGTCTGAAATAGCTGTGAAATGTAAAAGACAAGTTGTTATGATTTGCCTCCTAAATTAAGCGTGGGGCAATGCAGCATAAATGAAAGTATTTAAAAAATGTTTTTACGTCTATAGTTACGATTAAAGCTTAACCCCAGGCAGACAAACTACACCATTAACTTCAGGCACATATTCTTTAAAAATCATTAAATTTAGGTTTAAATAAAACTAACCTAAATACCTGACTCTGTCCAGAAATTAGCCATCTGTAAATCCCATGCAGAGGAGAACTCACACGGGGGGAGAGAGGGACAACAGTGTAAGGCAATCCGAGCGCCCTTACTTTGCATCATTCTGGCAGCGAAGTGTCTAAGGGCCAATTACCTAAAATTTACTTTCTAACAAACATTTCATCTCTACAACTATGAAACTGACAATAGGTAATGCTTATAATAACAAGATTGTTGTACTCACCATAATAGTTAATATTCAATAGTAAATTGAGGGACACATGATTCATTGACATTTGGGTTATACTGCCACCTACAAGGGGATTTGGACACTGACAAAAAACAGTGACCCGCCTGTAATAACCCAAAACAGCGCGCGCGCGCACACACACACACACTATGTCTCAGTTTTGTAACAAAGCAGTGCTGAGAGCAAAACTATAAAACACAGAGAGGTAGGACCTGTGCCCTCAAACTCAAAGAAAAGGACTTTACAGTGTTTACAAAAGTCCTATTTTATATTTCCTTCACTGAGGGTTACAGGATTTATTGTGACGTTCAAAAGCAGTCCAACTGAGGAGTGGGCAACACAGCAAACAAAATAACTGGGCACTGCCTTCAGCTCATAGAACCACCTGAAGGAACTTGCGCTGAAACCTGCCATCTGAGGAGGCTTGAACACCCACCTCGTAAAACAGCCGTGCAAATCTGGGAAACAGTTGCCTGGTGCTTGCTGGTCAGGATTGGCTTAAGAACAACCAGTGTACCTTCCACGGTTCAAGGCCTTCTATACCCACCATTGCTGTGAGTGCATTGTATGCTTTTATTTCTTTAAATAAAATCATTTTACTCCTATTCCCCAACTAGCTGCTGTTTTTGTTGCTTTCCTGTTTCAAATTTTAAATTTAGAGCGATATTGCCACCTACCTCCTGAACCGATGATCGCCCATTGAAATTGAAGATCTTTCCATGACACATAGTTACATAGTATTTGAGGTTGAATAAAGACATAAGTCCATCAAGTCCAACCTATTGTGTGTATGCATTTATGAGCTGGTGTGTGCATGTATATGTGTCCATGTGTGATTTTTCTCTTAGCAATACCTGTACCCCTGAATGTTATGGTCTCCCAGGAACTCGTCCAGGAGTCTCTTGAATGATTCCACACTCTTAGCTGAAATCACTTCCTGTGGCAGCGAGTTCCAGACCTTAACCGCTCTAACTGTGAAGAACCCCCTGCGCCCTGTGTAGTGAAATTTGTTTTCCACCAATTTTTGGTTGTGCCCTCTGGTCTTTGTTACGGAGCTGACCGTAAACAGTTTGTTACTGAGGTTGCTGTCACCCTTGAATAGTTTATACATGAAAATCATGCCCCCCCCTTAATCTCCTAACCTCCAACGAGAACATATTTAATTTTAACAACCTTGTTTCATAGTTCAGATCCTCGAACCCCTAATGAGTTTGGTTGCCGTCTTCTGGACTTTTTCCAGCTCAAGGACATCCTTTCTGAGTATTTGCAACCAAAACTGGACCGCATACTCCAGATGTGGCCGAACCAGTGATCTATAAAGAGGCAAAATTATAGACTTGTCCCTGCAATACATTCCCTTCTTAATGCAAGACAGGACTCTGCTAGCTTTGTTTACAGCAGCCTGGCACTGCAAGCTATTCTTCATTCTGCGGTCTATAATGACCCCCAAATCCTTCTCCGTTTCCGACTTCTCTAGTTGCACACTCATAAGTGTATAGGCCATTTGCCTATTTTTTACTCCAAAGTGCATTACCTTACATTTATCGACATTGAACTTCATCTGCCATACAGTTGCCCACTCCCCGATTTTCTCCAGGTCCTCCTGTAATGTTATAATGTCTAAATCTGTGTCTACTACCCTCCCAATCTTCGTATCATCAGCAAACACTGAGATATGACTTCTCACTCCCTCCCCTATATCATTAATAAATAGGTTAAAAAGCAAGGGACCCAGCACCAAACGCTGGGGTACGCCACTCATGACCTCCGCCCAGTCTGAGAAGGTGCCATTAACTGATACTCTTTGCGCACGTTCTTGTAGCCAGTTTTCTATCCACGTGCACACTAATTCATCTATGCCCATAGCCCTTAGCTTGTATAACAAGCGTTTATGTGGCACCGTATCAAATGCTTTGGCAAAGTCCAGATATACTACGTCCATTGGCCTCCCCCCATCCAGATCTCTACTTACCTCTTCGTAAAAGGTCAGCAGGTTGGTCTGGCAAGAACGATCCTTCCTAAATCCGTGCTGCACATCACTTATTATACTATGATCCCGGACGAATTCCACTAAGTAGTCCTTAATAATTCCCTCTAACAGTTTACATACTATGCATGTTAGACTAACTGGTCTATAGTTCCCCGGTTGGCATTTTGACCCTTTTTTGAATATAGGTACCACATTAGCCCTTCACCAGTCTCTTGGCACTCTACCAGCCATTACGGATTCCTTAAAAATGAGGAACAATGGTCTTGTTATCTCCTTCCTAATGCTTTATTTGCATTTAGTAGTTTAAGCCTATGTTGTATCCCCGATTCAGTCAACCATTCAGGTGTATTTCCTGTTAAATTATGTGTTTTATCATGTACATTAAACCCGCCTGTTTCCTTGGTGAATACCGACGAGAAGAAAGTATTTTGCGCCTTTGCCCTCTCCCTGTCGCTTGTGAATAACGACCCATTTATGTACTTTATTGGGCCTATCTGTTCCTTTCTCCCCTTTTTACTGTTTATGTACTGAAAAACATTTTTGTGGTTCTTTTTACTAACTTCGTCGATATAATTTTTCACATTCAATTTTAGCTGCCGGCACTGCCAGTTTACATATTTTATTAAATTCTTTGTAGTTTTGGAATGCTGATACTGTCCCCTCCGTTTTATACTTACTAAATGCAATTTTTTTTTCCTTAATGTGTTTCTTTACCGATCTACTTAGCCATATTGGCTTTGTTTTTGATCTTTTACTTTTGTTCCCCAGCGGTATACACCTGGTAATAGCATTTTTAAATTTGTTCTTGAAACAGTCCCACTTCTGGTCAAAGTTTAGTTTATCAAATACGTTTTCCCAATCGATATCACCCACCATATTGCATAGTTTATCAAAGTTCGCCTTCCTGAAGTTTAGGCTTCTCGTCCGCCCATCCCCCTTCCCTTTCTTGCAACCAATATTGAAAGCAATCACCTTGTGATCACTAATGCCCAATGTCTCCCCGATTACAACATCCTAAATTAACTCATTGTTCGTGATGATCAGATCTAGGATTGCATTTTCCATAGTCGGGACCTCAACCATCTGATCCATGAAATAGTTTCGGAACATATTAAGAAAACGGGCTGCCTTAGCCGATTTGGAAGCCCAGTTGATATTTGGGTAATTGAAGTCTCCCATTACCACAACATTACCCTCTTTCCCCGCTATTTCTATTTGCGATTGTAGGTGGGCCTTCCCCTCCTCCCCCATATTTGGAAGTTTATAACAGACACCCACAATAAGTTTACGGTTAGGGGTAGGGCTCGTCCCCCCCCCCCCCCCTTCTTGCCAGCCTGTCCCTCCTGAACAGGTTGTACCCTTCTATGTTAGTAGCCCAATCCTGTGTGCCGTCTAACCATGTGATGTTCTATGGAAGACCCCCGTAGCTGATACATATGCTGGTTTTTACCGGTCTTTTGTGAGTGCATACATTACCCCTCTTCTCTGTCCTCTGGTGTCACTTAGATATAATGCACAAGATTGTTGCATTCTTCTCTTGTTTTTTCATTATCTCTACAGCTCATTTTCCTCTGCTTGCATACAAGAGCGACACACCAAAAATATTTGATACCTCTCCTCCTCAGGAACCCTGTTTTAGTGCGCTGAGGGATTTTAATGTTTTTAGTGCTAATCCTTAAAATAATAAGCATAAATTATGATTTGTGTAAGCCACAATAAATGAGGGAATGAGAAGCTTGTTTCCGTTTACGGGGACCACCAGGGATGAGCGGGAGTCAGTGTTTCTAAGGGAGGCAGTGGCTGCAAGGTAGGCACATACAGCTCAAACTATATCTAGACAATCAAGGGAGATCTTTTTATGTACTGGGGCCAGACAGAGAAACGGAAGCACAATGTCCTAGTTGAGGTGAAAAGCCAAGACCCCCTAGGAGAAGGAAGGAGGGTTTAGGCCTTACCACCTTATCCTTGTGTTTAACCCCTTCATGACTCATGACGGCATAATCCCATCATGAAGTCTGAGGGGTTAAACAGACGCGGGGAGCCTGTTCAGTTTTGTAGAGCCGGTGGCCGGCTTTACATAAGAAGCGATTCTGGCGGCTCAGCTGCCGCCAGATCCCTTCTACAATCTGGTAACCGTGTATGCCAGAGTGAGAGCAATAATTCTAGGGCAAATATTTACACGCATTTCAAAACGAATGACATGTAGGGGCTTTTAAAGTGTCCTCTATGGACTTTTTGGGGTAATGAATTCTGGAGCAGTTTCACTGACGCACACAATTTTTAACCTGGGCATATTGGGTATCTATTTACTTGTTGTAACCTCATCTTTTATATTTTAAAAAAATGGTATTATATAGTGTTTTGTGGCACTAACTTTAACTTTAGTGCATTTTTCACAAAGTTTTGGGGTTTGATAATAAGCTACGCTAATGTCGTACATCATAAAAATTTGCAACTGCCACCATTTTATTCTATAGGGTCTTGGCTTTCAGAAAATATATAATGTTTAGGGGTTTTAAGTAATTTTCAGGCCTAAAATGTGGATTATAACAT